CGCCCGGCCTGCAACATACTCTTAAATGATTCAGGAAAAGAAAGTATGTGTGTGTGTATGTAGACAGATAGATAATAAATGTAAAAAAAATGTTAACGACTAATAATTCTAGGTAAAGGATATATGAGTACCAGTACTGTTCTTTCAACTTATCTGCTGGATTGAAATTTTTCAAAATAAAAAGGGTAGGGGAAGAAGGTAGTACCCAGGTGAATGAAAGTTACCTCATTTCCCTTTACTCTCCCCTTCATATTCTATGCTCCAACCACATTGGTCTCCTTTCTGTCCCTCAAACAAAACAGGACTGTCACAATTTCAGAAGTCTTTGCCTTTGCTGATGTTTCTTCTACTTGAGATACTCCTCTCCCCTAGATCTTAATTTGGCTGTGTTCTTCAAATCATTCAAGCCTCAACTCAAATATAATCTCAAAGAGGCTCTCTTCTCCAACCACCTTACCTAAAGGAGATGCCCATCAGCCCTACCATATTACTCTACATTGTATTCACAGTAATAATCAATAACTGAAATGCTTATAAATGTAATTTTTGTGTTTGCTTGTTTCTCTCTCCAATACAACATAGCTACTGGCCAAAACTGTCAGTTGGTTTGTACTTTTAGTCTGTTCTTCCTCTTCCTTCAAGTCTGTCTCCTAATATCTACCCTATATCCAGTAAAAACTGAAATGGAAGGAGTAAAGCCACTGATAATTTCTTCAATAGAAGCAGAAGCTAGAAGACTGAAGGGTTGTATCTGATGTTGACAGAAACTGAGTGGTCCAAGAGACTGATACTGAACTCAAAGACAGTATGAGTACCTAACAGCTATAATAACAACTGACTGTTTACTAACACAATACCTATAAAGCTGGGATCAAAACCAGCAATAGAGGTCAGGTGTGGTGGCTCACACCTGTAATATCAGCACTTTAGGAGGCCAAGACAGGAGGATGGCTTGAGGCCAGGAGTTCAAGACCAGCCGGCACAACATAGCACGATCCTGTCTCTACAAAAAATTTAAGTAATAATAATAAAAAAAACAGCAACAAGAAGATTTTTACCAGAAATTAAAATTTCCCTAAATTTGGGTTAAGTTTAAAAGTTTATATTGTGCTAAGATCTAGAGAAAAATCAGAGTCAATATCCCATGAATCCAGTTAAGATTTAATTTCTTTCTATTCTTCTAGTTGATTTAACTGATATTTTTATGACCTTTTTGCCTGATTGGCCATCTGTTCTACTTTGCCTTCTACCTAATACTTCCATTGTAGGCTAAATCCTATCTTTAGACTATAAAAGACTGGTCTTTGCCTTCTTCTCTCAGGCTGTTTTATAAATCCTTTAAGTCCCACATACTTATGAAAACAGTGAATTAAAATGGTTACAGAAAAGTCTGAGGTCAGAAATGAGAAGTAACAGCTAAAATGATAATTTATATTTATCAACTGCTTACCATATGCTAGGTTCCGTCCTAAAGATTTTACATGTATTAACTCACTTAGTCTTCACAAAACCTTATGGTATTATCCCCATTTTATGAATATGTAAACTGAGGCACAGAGAAGTAAAGCACCTTGACCAACGTCACACAACTAGTAAGCGGCAAGGCTAGAATTCAAAACAGGCCAAATGATAACAGAGTCTTTGTTCTTACCTATGTTGTCTCTTACAGTGGTACGGTTAAGTCTTTACAAATTTGATGAAAATTCTGAGGGTGCTGAATTTCAGAAGCAAGAAGGCAAATGTGCTAACTACATTAATTTTAACACATTATTGAGAGTGATCCTTAAATGTGCGTGACTTCTCTCAACACAGCACAGGAAAGAACAAAGCAGGTTATGAACAAACACTAACTACTTAAAAGAATGCCAGATTCTTCCCAAGTATGTTATCTAAAGTACACAACATAGCTTAAAATATCAAAAGACTCATGAATCAAAGCTCTTTTTACTACAGTTCTGCTATTCCAAGAATCCAAATCTTTTTATCTCTGACAGCTGTTAGCATATTTTGTTTTCCCTATGACATTCATATTCAGGATATTTTCTATAAGCATATTCTGATATAAAACTTATGACTGGATTCTACTTCCCAGTAGCTGTGAATCTTCTGCAAAACAGAGCTCTGAAAGTAGAGCAATAACAGTAAGTTCCACAGAACTACGTGTAGTTTTAGACATTTTGCAAGTGGTATACAGTGATTTCTAAAGTCTGTTTCAAAACCATTCTACTGTTCTAGAGGCTACACAGAGTTAGTAAGAAAAGGGGGAAAGCTCCAAGGTACTCAACTTATCACCATAACTCCTACATACCTCAAGAAATCCAAAAGAGCTATTTAATGGAAAGGCAACACATTTTGTAGTTCTATTTCTGAGTATTGATCATAAAGATTGTATAATATCAAAACCTAAATAAATATGCTGATAACATCAAAATTTTCAATGTATCATGTGTATGTAAAGGCATATTAGAATTTTTATTGTTATTAAAATACATATCTACCCATAAGAAAGTAAGGTTTTCTAACCTTTCAAAGTCACCTTGCCTTGTAAATTTTGACAACCTATACACGGCCCAGTTGTTAAGCTGCTTAGAGGTCATTCCTCTTCCATTATCTATCACTGCAACAGCAGGTTTTCCTTGTGTTTCATCAAAAAGCTATGAAACAAAATAAGTTCAAAAAGACAGAAAAAGTCAAATTAATATTTTAAAACATGAAAAGTTAAATATGAAAAAAAGTGATTCAATGAGCTCACTGATACATTGCTGGTGGAAGTGTAAATTAATACAACTTTCTGAAAGGCACTTCAGCTACCTGTATCATAAGCCTCACAATTCTTCATGTCCTTCAGCCTAGAAATTCCATTTCTCAGAATTTAACTTAAGGAAATAATCAGAGACGTATACAAAGACGTATAAGAATATTCATCATCCCAGAATTGCTTTCAGTGGCAAAAATATAAAAAATATGTAAATGTTCAACAACAGAACACTGACTACATAATTTATATTACAGCCAATAAACCACTCCATAGCAGTAGACTATTTTGTTACAGAATATTCATGATATGGCAAATGTTAACAATGTACTATTTAAGGGAAAGCAGAAGATTATAAAAAATAAAATGCACACATACATGTATACATATATGCATAGAAAAGGACACATGAGAAAATTTTAACAATGGACGAAGAGATACCTGATAATTATTTTTATGTTTAGGTTATTCTTGTTTTCTAATTTTTCTCCAATGACCTTACACTACTCTTATAAAAGGAAAAGTTAAATTGCTTTATAGTACTATTTTCTTACCAATTTGATCTGTATTCTTCTAATACCAACGTTACGAGAAGTGGCAGACAATGAATTATCAATTAATTCCGCAAGTGCAAATGCTGGAAAAGATTAAGAAAACATTATTGCTTAACTTTTCCCTACCAAATGCTTCATATGAAAGTTCAAAATGGAAGAAATTCTCAAGTATCTTAAAGTCATCACTTTTATTTTCCAAGTAGCTAGCATTAAAGTATTATCCTGATCCTAACAATATAATACATGATAAAGGCATCAACACAAATCACCACTAGCATAAAAAAGCAGTTATCAACCAGTACTTGTACGGCACTAGTGATACGGCATGACTTAGCCAACCATGATCATTTCCTAGCTTCAAGGAGTTTATAATCTAAAGACAGATGTAAGCGACAAACAGAAGACCATGAGCATAAAATCAAATAACAGTTTGTGGTATGTAATTACATTATGCACAAGTCCAAAGTAAGCACATTGAGAGATATGGGGGCAAATATGAAGCAACTCTAAGTGTCTCTTAAAAGCTAATTTGGATACAGAATTCTTATGACTAACAGAAACTTGTCAAAATGGCAGAACACATCTGACACAAAATTGCTACTGATGCCCTACCACACCACCAACTTGACATTCAATTTATCACTGGCAAAGCATTAACTAATACTCTTTTCTTCAAGGTCACTACTCAAACTATTTCCTGCTTTTATTCAATTAATTAAAAAGAAAGGGAACATACCAAATTTATGTCTCTTAATTCCACAGAAGCTTAACCCAACTAAAACTGTAATTAATCCACAAAATAGCACTCCAGCAAGCACCTCCATTCATTCTAAACACTCAAGGGATGGCTATGTTTATGAACTAATTACAAAGAAGTTACCACAAATCAGACATGTATAAGGATCTGGCTAAGGGCAATAACTCTAGAAAATGAAGAAGGGAGCTAGACATGGTGGCTGTTGCCTGTAATCCTGGCAACTCAGGAAGCTTAGGCAGGAAAATTGCTTGAGACCAGGAGTTTGAGACCAGCCTGGGCAACATAGCGACACTCCATCTCTAAAAATATTTTTAAAAAAATTAGCCAGACATAGTGGCGTATCTGTAATCCCAGCTACTCAGGAGGATCACTTGAGCCTAGGAGGTCAAGACCGCCACTGTGCTTCAGCCTGGGCAATAGAGTAAGACCCTGTCTCTTCAAAAAAAAATGAAAAAGAAGAAGAAACACTGCAGGAAATGGGAGGAAAGGAGACTTAAGAGAAATTTAGAAGGAAGAAATGAATAAAAATTAGTATCTGATTAGATAAAAAAGAAGAGGAAAAAGAAATCCAAAATGTGTTTGAGTTTCTGCCTCTAAAAGACTGGATAAATGGTCATATTTCCCATAAAGGGAAAATTCAGGGGGAG